GAGGGAAGTGCTGAGCTCCCTCCAGGGCCTGCAGGGCTCTGTGGGGTTCAGCATACTCAGGTGATCTGGAAAAGGCATGAACAACAAGCTGACTTTGCTGATGGTAGGGAATTATTCAGCACAACCTCAGGTAAAACCAGGAGAAGTTGCACAACAGCTTCTCGATGTTTGATGAGAGGCAGAGTAAGAAAACCTTCTGGGACAACCACAGAGAAAGGCAGAGGGCAGTGACCCAAGCTGTGGTGAGCTTTCTGTCAAGCTGAGAGAAGCCTTGGAGATGCCTGGGAGACAAAGGTTTGGAAGTGTCAGCTCAGCACCTGTCAAAAAGAAACCTGTGAAAGTCCTCCAGAGCAAAAGGTCCAATTGGTGAGGATAAATCCATAGCAGACTGGAGTCTTCCATCCAGCCTGTGTTTAAAATCACCCAACTCACAGACTGCAGTGGAACAAGAAAAGGTGCAGAGGGGAACAAACCTGCCTGCAAGTAGAACTTCAGATAATGTGGAAATCTGAAGAGCTGAACTAGAAAGGCAGGTGTTAGGGCCTGCTGCAGTTCTGAGACCAGGGACAGCACCCCAAAGGTTCTCTTGCCCAGCCAAGGGGAAAAAAAAAAAGAGCTTAACAGAGGTACCAGGCCTTGGCAGAAGCTGGCTGTGTTAAGAAAAACAATTAAGTCTTCATTAAATGTTGGATTTAAACCTAGAAACTGCAATTTCCTTCACTAGATCTAAACTTGGAAGGAGTGAGCAAAACTTTGGGCAGACCTCTCTGTGCAACATTCCTTTACATACCTATGCTTTCTCTTTGGATGAAGCTCCTAGCAGCAGTGAGAGGATGAAGCTGTTTTTATCTGGAGCCCAGCCTGTGAGGAAGCAAGTGGGCAGGAGTGGTGGCTGAAATCCTACATGAAACAATAAAGACACTTCTGCTTGCTTTGCTGCCAAATTTCAGTGGGCAGTTGGGGCCTGGAAGGGTGGAACCAGTGTAGCCAATAATCCTCATGTCAGTTTGCTCAACTCTGCTTTCCCAGCCAAAAATGTCACTGCTGTTCTTAGCCATCCCAGGCCAAGACCCAGAGGCTTGCTCCAGGACTCAGAACAAGGCTGCAGCTCAGCCAGGGGTTGATCCCACTTTCCTACCTCCCAAGTTGGTGTGCTGCTTCTCTAAGGGCTGGCTGAATGCACAAGCTGTTTAAGCAGGGCTGGCTGGCATGTCCTGTGCGTGTCAGAGGAAGTTTCAGTGCTCTCTTTGGCCACTGATGCCTTTACCTTAGTGAGTCAGGGGTGAATAAAGCACTCCAGTGATGTCTGGTTTCAGCTTGGACTCTGGAAAATAAAATAATTCATAGAGAAGTGAGTTGTGGCTGTCCCATTGCAAAACAGGGTGTGGTTTGTGAGGCTGTTTTGTAGAGCTCCCCAGGTCATGAAATTACGTGCATTTTGGAACGAGTTACAGTCCACATGATTCAGATATTACTTCTCAAAATCTCTCTTCATCCTCCAGCCCCTGCTCTGAAGAGGGAAGGAGTGGGTGCATGTCATTTACTGCCCTCCATCCTCAGCCTCCTGTGACTCTGTGGGGCATTCAGCAGCATTTTGCCTCACCTGAACTCTCCAGCCTTGCTTTCCTTTCCTGCTCTGCTCTGACAAGGCAGGTCTGCAGGAGAACAGAACAGATTCCTTCCTTCCTTCCAAGGCAGGCCTGACCACAGCCCAGCTGAGATAAATGGCCCCTTTTTGCAGTGCAGTGCTGACTCAGAAAGGCCCGGGGGGGAAATGAGCAAAAAGTTGGAAAGGAAACATCTTGCCACGTATGCACCACTTGACGTGCTTGCAGCATCCTGAGCAGCCAGGTCAGGGTCACAGCCTCTCATGTGGGTGTTGCAGTTAGTTCTGTCCCCGTGTAGCGTGAAGAGGATGGAAGGAACAGGCTGCTCTGTTCTGGGGCAGAAACCTTGAATTAAACTTGCTTTGATGCTGGCAGCTGCTCTGGTTGTGCTGCCTCGAGCAGGCTCCTCCCAGCGCTGCTGAGGCTCAGTATGACCTGTGAAGTTGCTACTGCAAACTCCAGTGATAACTTGAATGCTTTGGCCAAGTCCAGACCAGATTTGGAGATGCTCAAAATACAGTTTCCCTGTGAAGCAGGTCAAGTTTAGGCTAGCACAGGGAGTAACCTCATAAACCACGGTCACATGCAAGAGCCTGCAGGGCTGTTGAAGGGAATGGTTTTCTCTCCTGTCCCAGATGTGGTTCAAAAAGGAGTGTGCAGTGTCCAAGCACCTGTGCTCAAACATCCACTCTTGCTTTCAAGAGCCTTTAGTTAAGTAAGATGGGAATAAGAATGGAGCTGGTCCCTTACACAAGACCTACAAAGTGTTGGACACTTGACCTTTGTTAGCTGTAGAGTTGCTGGTTTGCTCTGCTGCTAAAGAAACTGTTCCTTAAATGCACAGTTCAGTTCAGGGGTGGCACCAACACGTCTGTCAGTAGTGCTGGATCATGTACTGGGAGAAAGTTGGAAGAGGGACACCTGTTCTCAGGGAAAAGTGGGTAAATCTCCCTGAGTCACTTACACTGGCAGGACTTCCCTATTGCTCCATACCCACAACCTGGGAAAAGCAGCTGGTCCACGGGCAGCTGAGCCAACGGGGTGTGAGCACAGACAGCCTAAGAACTAACCTCTAAGAGCAAGGCACTGTCCAGCCTGACACGAGAGCTTCTGGTTTGTTACCTGGTTTCTGGAAACGGAAAAACTCCATGGAAGGCCACGAGTCCCTGGCTGTGCTGTCCCAGCCTGAGACTTTGGGGCCAGTCAAACCACGGGCTCCTGCAGAGCAGCTGCTGAACATGTTTCTGTCTGGTGCCTGCAGCCAGGAGCATGAGTGCACCGATGGTTTTGTCTCTGCAGGACATCAACGCCTACAACGGGGAACAACCCGCGGAGAAACTGCCCTTCCCCATCATCGCTGACAAGGACCGGGAGCTGGCTGTCCAGCTGGGCATGCTGGACCCGGACGAGCGGGACAAGGACGGCATGCCCCTGACTGCCCGTGTGGTGAGTGCCCAGCCCCGCAGCACCTCTGCCTTCTCTGCCTGCCGTCCTGCCCTGTGTCCGTGGGGCTGTGCTTGAAGATGGGAGCAGCTTACCTGGGTGGACACGGCCATCTTCAGGAGCTGGGTGGACTCTGTTGGTGTAGAATGATGAGGAAGAGGAGGTGCAGTGCTGGTTTGCTGGCAACAGCTCCACCTTGCTGTTGCCACCCACTCGTCCTGGTTGTGCCTGTCCTGACCTAAATTTCGTCAGTGCTTGATCTGCTGGACTTTCCCTCTCCCCTCCTGTGCTTGCATTAGAAGGGCACAGGTCAAGGGGAGAAAACATTTCATGCAGCAAAACAAGCTGGCATTGGAAACAGGACTTCCCAGAGCAAAAATGTGTTCCCTGGGCATCACTTATTCTCTAGGAGATCCCCACCATGGCATCTCCCTTGTCCCAACACCTGTGGTCAGGCAGGCCACCTCCCAGGAAAGGAAGGGACAGCAAGGCTGAGCAGATCCAGCAGAGCCAGCAGAGCAGTTGGACAAACATCTGCCCAGCCCCTGACTTTGTCTCCCTGTGCTCAGGTGTTCATTTTTGGTCCGGATAAGAAGCTGAAACTCTCTATCCTGTACCCAGCCACCACTGGGAGAAACTTTGATGAGATCCTGAGAGTGGTGGACTCCCTGCAGCTGACAGCCTATAAGAAGGTTGCTACCCCTGTGGACTGGAAGGTGAGGAGGGGAGCAAAGCTCACAGCCAGGAAATGTGGGAGACCCATGGAGTGGGGAAAGCAGCAGGTGGGAGCAGCCTTGCCTCTGAAAACTCCCATCTCTTGCAGCCTAAGCTCCCAGTGGTTTGTGCCAGCTCACCCACCAGCCCACCTCCCAGGGAAGCACACCTTTACAGAGGGCTTGGAACACCAAGGGGGAGCCAGCCTTAGCAATAGGAATGGATGAGCAGACTTAGGCAAGCTGTGCTCCCACCTGCATCACAGAGATGCCCAAACTCCCCTCTTGTTACTCCCCGTTCCCATGGGAGTGCTTTGGGGAAGAGCTGGGCTGTGGGATCCTGTTGGCAGGGCTAGCAGATGGCACAGCTCTCCCGTTGGACATCACCCTTGTCTCCTGGTGTAGCTCCCACTCAGCCCTCACTGGCAGCTCCAGGCAGAGCTGCACGGGATGTGCTGGGGTGCTGGGGCCGAGTGCTCCCAGGGAGGCAGTGCCACCTGCACCCGAGCCTGCCAGCTCCTCTGCTGCTCTCACAGTTCCCATTTGCTCCCCAGCCTGGTGACAGTGTCATGGTTGTGCCCACCTTACCTGATGAGGAAGCCAAGAAGCTCTTTCCCAAAGGAGTCTTCACGAAGGACCTCCCGTCAGGCAAGAAGTACCTGCGTTACACCCCACAACCGGAGTGAGGTCTGTCTGTCCATCCCGCCGGGCTGCACGCCCCTGGAGCCTTCCCCGTGCCCAGCTCCTGCCCCTCTGACACCACACGATCAAGCATTCTTGTACCATCACACTGATGGCGCACCACAGTACAAAATCCTCCCCATCCCTTTCATCCCCTGCTTCCCCTCAAAACTAAACCTCTGGGTGTTTTCTTGCCTTGAATCAGCCCCACAAGGAAGGTGAGCAGACCAGTGAGGGGTCCAGGGCTCGTGCTGTGGAGTCTCTCCTGTTTGGTTACCAGCCAAGCTTTTTCCAGAGGCATGGTGAGAAGTGTGGTGTCAGCAGCCAGGGCCCAGAGGGGTGTCCTGCTGGGACAGGGAGCTCTGGGGCCTCCAAACTGCTGTGTGCCTTTCAAGGCAGCTGTCACTAACACGTTAACACCTTTGGTCCCATGAGTAAGGGAGGAGCTGCAGAGCCAAATCTCTCACTTCTTACTGCTTTGTCATCTCTTGCTGGAGGTTGATTGGTTTTGGGTTTTATGGAAGAGGGAATCAAGCAAATAAACTGACCTTCAGTACTACCTGCAGTGTCCCTCGTCTGTCTCTGCTGGGCCCCACGGCATCCTGCACAATTTACTTTGTTTCCTGTGGCCATGCAGCTGGGATGGGTGCCCGTGCTCCTGGGTGGGTGGCAGCAGCACAGACTTCCCTTGTTCTTGCTCTGTAAGGAAGGCATTTTGAAAAGAGGTTGTCCCAGGGCACACAGGCAGTGTGCTCCCCCTCGTCATGGCAGAGTCTCAGCAGTGGGAAGGAGACACCTGCTCAGGGAACATGCCTCAGCCTGGCCTTCTGTTAGTACTGGGGGAGTCCTACTCTTCTTCCCAGAAGAAATTCCAAATTCCTGCCTGCTCTTCCTCACCTACACCTCAGGGATTTGTCAAGAGATGAGCGATGTTTTAATATAACACTAGGAAAGAAACCTGCTCACCAAATAGCTCATAGGCTGGCTGCCAGCATCCCTCAGTGCCCAGCACAACCAGCAACACTTTAAATGAGCAGCTCTAAGGAAATCAACTGGCTTGGGGCACAAACATCTCCCCCCAGCATGTGGGGAATAGCAGGGTTGATGCTCATGGTAAGCAAGGCACTGGATGCAATGAGATACCCTCCAGCATCCTGTGGATTCCAATCCTGCAGCAGCATCCACACCCTTCTTTCATTACCCAAAAAAAAATTATATTAATTTTTAATTGCCTTCAGGAACTATGAAGTGAATATTGGTGTATTTCCCCAAATGGCCTTTAAATGAACCTTCAATATGAAACTGTATTATTCCTGTATATTACTTTTTCTAGAAGATAGAAACAGCTGGTCTCTGGGCTGACTTTTGTTCTCGCTCTTCCACTCTGCATGAAGTGGGAGGGGGAATCTGCAATTTCAGAGGGGAAACGTCTCTTTTCTGTGCAGTTTTTCAGCTTTATCAAACTTGGCAGCTTCCCTAGTTCCCCGTGGCTGGGCTGTGCAAATTCCTGGGTTTCTTGCTGTTCCCTCAGCACACAGCCCTTGCCTTGATCTGGTTTCCTAAGGCAAAAAAGGGACGTCTGCCCCCTCCGAGCTTTCCAACCAACTGCCCCATTTTCTGGAAGCTTGAGGACACAGCCCCATGGCACGCTTTGTGCAAACAGCCTGCCCTGAGCAACCCTAGAGAAGGGGCACTGCAGGGCCAGCACAACTTCTCTAGGACACCAGAGAAGGCACCTTGCAAGCAGGGACAAGGGGAAACAAATCCTGTCACACGGCCCAAGGGCTTAAAGTCAGCAGGAAGCAGCCACTGATCCCACTTATTAGGCAAGCTGATGACCAAAAGCCCAGGAATTCCTGCCCACTCCCTGGTGCTGCTGTGGCCTCAGAGGCACAAACCAGCCAGATGGAATCAAGCAAACACAGGGTTTGGTTCCAGTACAGCTCGAGTGGTTTTCTTTTAATCCCAGAGAAGTGAAATGCAACATTTGTTCGAGTTGGTAACAACATCCAGAGACAGAAGTCCAAGCCAAGTAAAGTCATTTACCAGTCCAAGACTCGGTAAAGTCATTTGTGTTTAAGGCACTCTGCAAAACCAGCTTTCCTCTCCTTCCGATTTTCCCCACGCGGCAGCAGAATACCTGGTTTGGTCTTTTCTCCATAGTGACATTCATATGTCCTGGCTCTTCTCACCATCTCCGGGAACTGGCAACAGCAAATCCAGCAGGAGCCGAACAGAGAAACGCCAGGAGGCCGGGTCAATAAATACGGACGGGCACGGGAGGGAGCGCAGGGGCTCCGAGCTTCTGCAGGAAGGGGACAAGCACCGGGTGCCCTCCCTGCAGGCACCGATGTGATTCCTCTTCCTTTCTCCCCCTCTCGGCTCCAAAAGGGGATGGGAGCGCAAGGCCCGCAAACGTCGCTCCCTAGCAGTGCTCTCAGACATGTGGCAGCACCCCAAAATGCAGGGGGCTGGGTGGGGGGAGACCCAGCTGCCCCCACTGTGCAGCACAAATGACACCACCCCCCCAACTTCCAGTTGTCAATAAATACCAATAAATAACTTAAATAAATAAATAGCCAAATAATTAAATAAATAAATAAATAAATGACCCGAGGACGCGAAGGAGGGGAAGGGGCACCCCGAGGCTCAGGGCAAGGGGAGCGTGAGGGTGGGCATTTCCCTGACCTGCCCCTCCCTGAGATAATGGGGTGCTGGTGCCGGAGGGGGGCACAGGGAAGGCATCCCATGGGGTGGTAAAACACAAGCCCAGGAGTCCGGGTGCTCATCCAGCCACAGGGATGTGAGCCAAACACGGACTCACACATGGGAGCTCTCACCCACCACCTCCCTCCCTTTCGTCTGAGCCCCACACTGGGGCTCCACTGCTCAGTGCCCACCCAGCACCTCCCCCCAATTGTGAGCACACACCTTTTGCCAACATGCAAAATGCCTGCACATTTCTGCAAACGTTGTTTGCCAAATTTTTTTGCAGACAATTTTTGCAAACTTTTTTTCCCCCTTCTTTTTTTAATGAAGAAATGCCCACGAAGACCACCCACGCATCAAACTGAGTTAAGTGCATCAAATCCAGCCATCAGAGAAGGAGTGGGCATAGAAATCTGGCAGAAGCCTGGAGAGGTGAACACAGGCATGGCCCCGGGGCTCAGCCAGCACCTGCCTGCAGGCTGGGGCAGCCCTGGGAGCTCAGGCACATGGCTACAGCGAGGCACTGAGTCTGACACTGGCACCAAGCACCTCCCTGGGGACGTTGTAGACATTCATAGAACAGAAATTCAGCCACTGCTGTCTCAGTGTCATAGCAGACGATGTGCCACGGCTCGGGCCATCCAGTACATCCCAAAAGATGGAAATGAATTCCACAGCATCTCTGCATCTGCATCCCCACTCTCCCAGACAACTGGAACCACGGCAGTGCCACAGCAGCTCCATGAGCTGACAGCTAGCATGCAGCCCTGGCCCTTCCCCATGAGTTCTGGGGAGCTGGCTTGCACAGCCTCTCTGGATGCAGCATCCTCTCCCAGTGGGAAGCCCATCTTGGGGTTACCCATTTATTGGGGAACTCCTTCCTCTGGCTTTTTAGCTCTGATGCTGCCGGGGGCGTTTCTGTCTCCTGGGTCAAAAGCATATACCTGCCTTACTTCAAACCAAAAGGTACTTACCCCTCCTCTTCAAATCCTTAAGGAAAATTGTATTTCAAGTTTCTAACCCCTCTCCACACACACACTTTTTGAGAAACAAAACATCAGTGATGGCAAAAGCTGCCATCAGTCCCACACCAGGACAAAACCACAGGTAGAGTCTCACAGGAGCAGGACATCTTCCCATGCCAGCAAGCTCCCTGTGGAAGCTCTGTGCCAGAAAACACAGCAAGCCAAAGTTCAGAGCCCCCTCTCCCTCCAAAGCTTTCCCACAGCAAGGCTTGTAGCCCCCCACAAAACCCCAACATAGGCACCGAAAGCAGCAGGTTCCCAATCCGCCGCAAGGCCGGGCGGGAGCAGCAGGACTGCAGGCCCGGCACAGGGAAGTGTGCATCAAGGCGTCAGAATGCAGCACTCCCAAAGGAAACAATAAATAAGGAATTGAACCAGCAGCAAATACTACCGAGGATAATAAATAGCGCGGGGATTTCACAGGGATTTTTGGTCTAATATGCCTGGGGAGCCCCTTTGCTGGCAGGGCCCGGGCGTGCACATCCCACCCTGGAAAAGCAGGAGATGCAGCTGAAGCTTTGAGGGAATGATGCCATGGGATGTGCAGGCACACCACAGGGAGGTGAGCAGTGCTGGGCTGGGCATCCCAGTACCCAGGTTGGGGGCAGCACTGCCAACACCTCAGGAAAGGCTTCGCATGGACATGTCACACAGCAATCCTCCCCAGGCTCTCCTGGCAGTGGGACAGCAGATAGGACCCTCCCAACAGGAATGACCTGCATCCCCAGGGCAGCACAAATCTCCTGTAATGTGAAGGTAGGGGTGTGAGCTGGAGGAGCCACAGGGCTTATGCCAGGACAGAGAGAGCAGAGAAAGCAGCAAAAGCTGTAACTGCCTGCCCAGGAGTTATGGGACACCAGGAGCAGCAGCAGCACAGCCGTGGCTTATGCCTCTGCTGCAGCTCCAGGCTGAGATCCTGGGAATGGCCAGTTGCATCCCACAGCACCGTGCTGCCCCATGGACCAGCCAATGCCAGCCATCCAGGCAGTGAGGGGTGAGAAGAAAGGCAAATAAACATCCCTTGTTGCCCCAAAGCACCTGTAGCACCAGGAGGCAGCCCTCAGGCAGCACATGCACCTCCTCCTTCCCAGGCAAAACTAGGCCTGCCCTGCACAGCCTCCACCCATGGAAAGGAGAGCCTGGGGAGTTACCACAAGGTGTGCCATCCCCTCCACTGGTGTCCCTGCCAGTAGCCAGCCTGCCCCACGGGTGGCTGAGGAAGAGGAGGGTCTCCATGTGAGCCAGCATTCGCATGGAAAATGAGCAAGCACCCAACTTCTAGCAAGGGACTTGGGTCTGCAATGAAGCAAGTGGGTCCCAGGGTACCTCCAAGCTGGTTTGGGTACCCCACACACACACAGTCAGTGAGCACCTGGGCTGGGTGAACAGGCACCACTCCCCATTTCTCACTCTGCTGAGAATCGGTTTTGCTTCCGTAAGAGACGGGTCGGTGGGACTGGGGAGGGGAGGTTGAGGAACTGCAAAGACTTAGTGCACCTTAAAACAAAAGGACATCTAACCTGCCCTTAGATCTCACTCCAAGACGGAAAAGAGCTATGGCATCTCCTACACTCACAACTACTCCAAACACACCCAGATGCATGCAAAACATGTCCCACTTCCCCTCGGCTGCAGAAAAACCCTCCCAGCTGGGGCCACCAGCCAGTGCTGGGCTCTGGCTCAGCACCCTGGCACTGTCTGTTCCCACCCCACTCCCGGGCCCTCCCGCCCAGCATCAGCAGGCAGGGCAAGGGGTTAAATTACCAATCTGAAATGCATAGGTATGGACACCATGGGGACTGGTGCCCCAGCAGGAAGGGGCACTGCAGGAGCCCTTCGCATCCAGCAGGCAAGGTCTTCACTTCTATCTCCAGCTGGGTGGAAAGCAGCATTCACCAAGGGCACGGTTCAATCACACCCATGGCTTCTTGCACTGCCCTACAAGGAAAGACGAGTCGTTTAGGTCAGACAGCCTCTGTGCCAGCCACAAGCCCCTGCGAGCACTCGATTCCACTTTCTGGGAAATCCTCCAGCTGGGCACGCCCTCTTCTGTGCCCTCGTGCCAGCCAGGCTCTATTTCTGACTCAGGAGGAGCCATGTTTCCAACCACAACCACAAAGGCAGGAGAACCCAAGAGGTCTGCTTTGGCTCAGAAACCCTGTTCGTTTGCAGCAGGCTGAGAGCACCCAGGTCCTCACGTGCGTGCCTGGCACTGCTCTACTTGGGAGGTATCACAACTATAGGCTGCCCTCGCTTGGGTCTCCACATGAGGACTTGGGCATCGTTGGCGTTGGGCTTCACTAGTGCGTTTGGTGGGATGGGCTCCATTCTGCTGAGGATCCGGGGCTGCTCCTGCTGAGTCCTTCCCACCAGCCGTGCCCGCTGCCCCAGCAGCTGCATGGGATCAACCTCAATGTCCACTCGCATCCTCCACTTTATAGTCTGCAAGATGATCTTTTCCTTGGTGGTGGTGTTCATGGCCACCAGCCACGTGGTAAAGCTCTGGTCCCTCTTAATCCTGGTCAGCAGCGGCACGTTACTGTTGCTCACGGGGACAGCCCACGTCACACTGGGGTAGAAATTGTCATTCATGCTCACCGAGAACCTGGAGATCTTGTTCGTGGGCCCGACCAGGGTCACGGTTTCTGTGGTGTTTCCATACCAGGGGTAGCTCACACCATCCGAATCGCTGATGGCTTTTACTCTTCCTTCTCGCAGGTCGGGCAGCTCCCAGCTTGACCTAAGTAAATGGGAAGAGAAAGGCCAGGTTAGCAGGGAAATGGCACCAACAGCACTTGGTGAGGGATGAGAAGGCCAGCAGCATGGGGACCCTCTTCCCTGCCTGCAGCAAGCTCTCAGAACCAACCTGAAGAACAAATTCAATGTTGGTTCCTTTGCTGAGACTCACACGTCCAACTGAAGCCTTTGCTCTGCCAACACAAATGTTATTTTAATTAATCTGCAATAAAACTGACTGGGCCAAAACCCATTGCCGAGTCTCTCTGGGGTCACTCTCTCCTTAGTCAGCTCCTGTGCTGGTGAACAGCCTTCCTCATTCACCAGCTGCAGCACCATGACCACTGCACTGGCCCAGCCCATCAGCTGCCACCCCAGCCCCACGATAAGTCTGTAATTTTTATGCCAGTAAATAAGGCACCTGCACAGAGACACAGACAACAATTAAATTCCACAATTATGCCTGCCACTGGTGCCATGAAATCTCTGCAATATGGCTGGGGGGGGAATTCCAGACCAAATCTTTGCTGACAATCTCATTACTAACACCTATTGCTACAGCAAGGGAGACAATCCCCACGTGGTAATTACAGGCCTGGAGTTCTGGTGAAACCTCCTACCAAGTCCAAGCTCTGGCTTCAAACACATCTAGTTTTTAAAGCTGCCTGGCACTGGGACCACACCTCTGCCATCCCCCCAGATGGCCTCCACTCACTGGATGTCCCCAAGCGCTCCAGTGCCACAGGCAGGTGGATCTGCCACGATGCAAGGATGCAGGCAGGCAGCACGAGGACCTGCTGCACACACTGCCCTGTGCTGGCAACCCCTGGCACCAGCAGTGGGAACACTCCATTGAGCCAAATGTACCCCTCCAGTCACCTCCAGTCCCTCTTTTATCACCCCTCTCCAAAGGCAGAGGACACAGTGACAGAGCCAACAGCTTTGCCCCTTGGTGTCCCCTCAGGTCACCACACACTCAGCCTTGAGAAAAGCTGTTTTCCAGCAGCCACTTCAGCCAAGTACTTCCCACTTCTAACACAAGCCAAGGGGGCAACTCCCCCAGCACTGCCCGCACTCACAACCCGGCCCCAGAGGGGAAGCGGTATTCGAGGGGAGACAGCGGCCACAAAGCCCCCGAGCGGGCAAGCCCCAGGCTACCGGGATGGTGCAGGAGACGCCGTGGCACACGAGGAGCAGGAA